GCTGGGTGTCTGGTGCTGGAGTGAAGCTTTTCATTCTCTCCACCCTTTGGACTTTTTTACTCTGGAGCCATGTTAATGTTGTTGTTGTTGTTGTTAGGTGCCATCGTGTTGGTACCAATTCATAGCAGCACTATGCACAACAGAATGAAACGTTGTCTGGTTCTGTGCCTGAACCCATTACTGCTGCCACTGTGACAATCCAGCTCATTGAAAGTCTTCGTCTTTTGCTCTGACCCTCCACTTTACCAAGCATGATGTCCTTCTCTAGGGACTGGTTCCTCCTGACAGTATGTCCGAAGTATGAGACAAAGTCTGGCCATCCTGGCTCCCAAGGAGCATTCTGGCTATACTTCTTCCAACACAGATTGACTTGTTCTTTCGGCAGCCCATGGTACGGAATGTGGCACCTGTTCCAAATAAAGTAGATGGGAGTCTAGAAGTATCCGGCTATTCCCAGAAGCAGCCTCTGTCCCTTTGACAGGAAAATGTTCTTGTTTGTAGACGTAGTCTCCCTTCTCCTTCCTGCAGCCTTAGCTCCTCCTGGCTAAAGTGAGAGGGGGTCATGGTCAATTTTGAATCTCCTTGACCTCTAATCACAGCTTTATCCATTATCTCTGTACAGGTTTGCTTTTGAGGCTGATGTTCAGATTAAAAGGAAGGACTGCTGGCATAGAGCAAAAGGTGGTCTCTTAATCAGACTCCTGGTGTGGCACTGTAGGATAAACACTGGACTGCAAACCAAAAGGTCAATAGTTCAAACCCACCAGTTGCTCTTCAGAAATCCTATACAGGGTCCCTATGAGTTGGAATCGACTGGATGGCACTTAACAACATCAACAATTGTCAAGCCCAGGAGCCCTTGTAGAACAGAATGAGAATTCCAGAACATTTAAATGTGCTCTTGTGGAGCCTATACCTAGGCTAAGAGGCAGTCATTTGAATAGAACAACAGGATACTGAGTGGTTTAATATCAGGAAAAGTGTGTGTTAGGGTTGTCCACTTTTACTATATGTTTTCAATCTGTATGCTGAGCAAATAATCAGAGAAACTGAAGAATGTGACATCTGAATTAGAGGAAAGCTCATTAGCATCCTGGGATATGCAGATACAACTTTGTTTGCTAAATTAGAGGACTTGAAGCCTTCCTTCACTATGGATTACAACACAGTGTAAAGAAAACAAAAATCTTTGAAACTGAACCAATAAATAACATGATAAATGGAGAAAATATTGAAGTTTTCAAATATTTCGTTTTACACACATCCACACACAATGTTCATGGAAACAGCATCAAGAAATCAAAGGATTTGGACAAATCTGCTGCAAAAGACCTCTTTAAAGTGTTAAAGAGCAAAGATGCTCTTTAATTCCTGGTAACAATTGGTTAATTTTTGGAAGTAGAACTCCCGGTTTTCTTCCTAGTCTCTTGAAGCTCTGTTGAAACTTTTTCAGCAACATAGCAACACACAAGCTTCCATCCATCATAAGACAGGCTAGAGATTGGTCAGGAATCAGACCCTGGTTTCCCAGGTCTAACACATGCAGGTGAGAATTCCCTTAACAGATGAGCAAATGGAGTCTCCAAGAAGTAGGATGCAAAGAAATGAAGTAATCTTGCCTTACCCTCAGGTTAATATTTGGCCATGTGTGGCTGATAGAGTAGGGAACTTGAGATTTCAGAGGGGGTGGGGAAGGGAGAAGCTGTACTGGAAACCATGCCCAGCTTTTGGTATTCCAGAAATGTGTTTTTCAGAGCTTTTGTGTTTTTCAGAAGGCCTGTCCTACCTTCTACATAGAACTAGCTCTGGAGTCTGAGCAAGCTGAGTCTCTTCTGGGAAGAGACCCCCTTCCTGAGAACTCTTTTCAGGTCTACTGGGGTGAATAAAAGGGAAAGCTGGGCTCAAAACAGAAATGGAGTCATTTAATTTATCATGCAATTGTTCCAAAAGGATTTTTTTTTTTTTTAAAGTGTAATGCATGGAATAGGAATGGAATTTAATGGCGACACATTCATACATATTGCAACAATGCCTAGCCCTTGCCTAGCCCTGTAAACTTCCTCAGGTTTTATTTGACCCTGACTTTGAACTTGCCAAAAGAAACAGAGGTTGTTTTCTCCTCTGATTACAAAAGCGAATCTAATCACCCAGGATCTGTCAGAATCTGAAGCTGGGGCTTTTAATTGCCAAACACTCTACTTAAAAGTTTCCTTCTCTGAATTCATCACTGTTTTTCTTTCTGAGCATTCCATGTTCCCCTTTCAGTTTCTTTTCTGTCTCTTCTCCTGAGTTTCACCATAACTCTTGCCAAGTGCAGTTTGCAAAACAAAACCCAAGAGAACTCCAGCCCATTCCTGGGGAAACCCTCCATGGACTGCCAGCCCCTTTGTAGGGTTCAGGCAAGTTTCCCACATGTACCTTATTGGCACATGGCCTCTGGCTACAGAATGAATCCCTAGAAAGACTCCTTGATTCTTTTTTTTTTTTTTTTCCTTAACGTTTTATTGTGAATTACATGATAGTTTACATGGGGGAACTTTAGTTTGACATTAATTCCATCCCCTACATTTCCCCCTCCTCCCCCCAGTTTTCGGCCCACAGTCCCTTTCCCTCTCTGGGTCACTTCATCACTCCACATCATCATCTCTGTTTCTCTGGGTATGGTTTCACTCTCGGCTTTTCTCTGTTGATGGTCCTAGAGGCCTCCGCTCCTATCCTGGAGAATTAATCACTCCCTTCCTTGTTACAAAACTTCTACCTTTGCATCTCCAACCCTCACAGTCCGTCCTGATAAGCATTATTTACTATAGTATCAAGAGTTACCCATCTGTATCTCCTTTCATCAGCTCTGCCCAGACAGATTGAATAGTACCTACTGGAGATTCTGCCTTCCGCCAGTCACTTCTTGCCTTTGTAGTCCTCCCCTCCCAATTTGAGTATCCAATGTCCAAGCTGCCCTTCTCCGTCCACTCTGTGTGTGTGTGGGTGTGTGAATGTTTCTTGCTGTGAGGATTTGTTGGCTCTTTTGAGTCGCTACTCCATAGGTATAGGTCAAGTTCATCAGACTGTATTAGCTAACTTTTCTTTTTTTTTTTCCCCCCTCTTCTTTCCTCTCCTGGTTGAGCTCCGATCATCCAGTTATCGGATCCAGGTCACGTGGGTATCATTTGCAAGTGTGGGCGCTCCTGTGCATATGTCCTCTCTTCCCGTTAGCTGGTAGCTCCACTCTCCTCTCGAGTCCTCCATGGCCACGTCACTGACTCTGGGCCCAAGAGACCCCAGGTCTCTTCACAATGCTTGCCAGCCGGGTCCCCAACTGAACATTGTAGGGCTTAGCTTGCCACTTCATTGCTGCTTTTACCCCACTTCCCCCCATCGGTGATGTGTTTGGTCACCAATCAGAGCGTGCATTTCCGTTGAGTCTTAGTCTTGGAAGGGGGTCTGCATTGAGAGGACCTGGCCACTTGCCTTAATGTTTCCTAGGGAAGCGATTTGTTTGTTCTTGTAGTAACAGCCCATCTGCCTCCATTTTTCTTGCAGGTCTTTCTTTCAAGAGGTATCTTTTATTCTTCTAGCCACTCCAGGCTGGTCTGCTTGTCCTTTCAAGTGGAGATTTCTCATCTCTGGAGATCTGGATGTGGTTCCAGTTTCTACCTATAGTTTTGTGTATTGCAAAGGCTCCGCAAGAAGCCTTGTTCACTGGGTATGCTGTAGCCCCATTTTAGGTATTCCAATCAGTCATAGGCAGAAGATGGATTTACAAGCCTTCTAGAGTGGTGTTTCTGACTATTCCTTTCTCTCCCTCTCCAGTGTCTACTCCTCCCCTTTTAGTATAATTTCTTTTTCTTAGTCTTTTACAGTAGTGGTCCTATGCAGTATTTCTCTTTTTGTGACTGACTAATTTCACTCAGCATAATGTCCTCAAGGTTCATCCATGTTATGCAGTGGATTAGCGCTTCCTTGTTATTCTTCAATGTAGCATAATATTCCATTGTGTGTATGTACCACAATTTGTTTATCCATTCTTCAGTTGATGGGCTGTCTCCATCTTTTTGCTATTGTAAATAGTGCTGCTATAAACATTGGTGTGTGTATATCTTCTGCTGCTATAAACATTGGTGTGAAGACTCCTTGATTCTTAAAAGTTGCTTTCTACCATCCTCGGCGGTTTAGACAATCAAGTTCAATTATGACAAGTCTGTTTTGTGAGTTCTGCAGTGGAGAGAGGAAACTGTCCTTCTGTTTGTCCAAGTCCTTTTCCTGAAAGGATATATCAATATTTATGCCCAGACGTCAGGTACTGGGTCAGGTGATTTTTAAAGGCATTGTGTTGTGCACCTAATTCATCCAGAAAACAAAACGAATTTTTGCCTCTGTGAAGCGTGTCTTTAAATTTCTAGTTGCTAAAGCTGTTCCTAAAGTGATTTGGAATAACCTTCTAAAATTATATACATTCAAAATATTTTAAAATCGATATACAATCCCTGGAAAGGAAGAGGCTAAAATTTAGGAAGAGGGGTAGAGGAGACGTTTTCAACAAAACTTCAGGGGAAATGGTTGTTGTGATATTTTATATAGGCAGCTTTTAACAAGCTCCTCAAAGAAAAACAGCCGCGGTTAAAAGCCAAGGAACGCTTGAGCCGGGAGCTTTCAGGAGGCGCATTTCCAATTTAGGGAGCGAGCTCTTCACTGGTTACCAAAATACAAACGGAGCCAGCCCTGGCGCGTGGGTGGTGGGTGGGGGCAGGACAGGAATGCCAGGGCTTCACGGGTTAAAGAGCCGATGTCACATCGGGCGTTCGAAACTCCTCCTCCCGCCGTGAGGTGAAGATATTTGAAAATCACCCCATTGCAGACTCCGCCCCCTGCGAGGAATCGCGTGTTGAAAGGCTGCTCAGGGCTCGGGCCCCGAGTGCAGTAGCTGCTCGGCTAGTGTAAAGCCCGTGTCTCCAACCCTAACACAGCTCACCACCCGCGGGAGTTTCAGACGTTTGGCAAACATGGGGTCGTCAGGCTGGGCTCTGCCCTGCACCGTCGTCCTGCTGCTCGTCGCGGCGGGGGCTGCAGGTAAGGCAGGTTCCGGGCGCCCGCGCCCCCTTGGGGAGCTCCAGACCTCTGGGAGCCGGTGGTGAGGTCTGCATGGCCCCCCAGTGTGTGTGTGCGTGTGGTGAGAATTCACTTCAAATTTGGGAGACTTGAGGGAAAATGGCCCGAAGTTTTTCCTAAATGGCTCGGGGGAGCACTAAGGCGCGCGTTGAGGTTTAGGGGGCGCGGAGGGCTCCGAAGAAACGAGGGTCTCAGCGGAGTGAGGGACCCCCTTGTTTAACTCAGAGCGGAGTAAGGGGACTTGTCCAGCTCTGAAAGGGGACCCGCTCTCGGGATCATTCACGTGGACCCTCCTGCCGAGGCCAGGTGGCCCCACCTGAGTATCCGCGAGTCCCCTGGACGCTGGTTCTCTAGTAGGGGGATACCGTAGCAGGGTGGTAGGCTTTGTCAGGCCTGGGGCGCCGCCACCTCCCCCCGGAGTTTCCTAGCGCGCGCCTCAGCCCTGTACCACCGCCTCCGGCCCCGCCTTTGACTCCACCCCCGCGCTCCCATTGGTTGAGTTTCGAACATGCGAGTTTCGAGCCACTCCCCTCGGCCAATGAGAGGCGGTGACTGAGGAGGTGCGCGCGGCACGGGGCGGAGCTTGTGTACGCGCGGGGTGGGGCTGGCGTGGAGTCATTCTCTCAGGGACGTCGGGGAGGTCTTGGGCGCGTTGTGGGCTTCTGTCATTAAAAAAAAAAATGGGCACATCCTGTGCCCTGTGGCCACTTTGGCTACCATGGACAAGGCGCCGATTAAGCGCTGGGTTTGTGGCGACGCTCCTCCTCAGCCTCGATCTTGTTCTCGGGGCCGTCTTCTCACCATCCGTCTCCAAAGACTTTCACCGAAGGGTCCTAAGTCATCTCTCGACCTCGGTTCCTCTGGAGACGTAAAACTTTACCTCCGAAACAATTCCCGTCTCTTTTGGTCCATTGCGAACGGCGGAGCAGAGGCTGAAGTCCTTGGGCCGCGTTTTCCCTGAGTCGGTGGGAGGCAACGAACATTCCTCCTCGCCCCCAGGTTGCCTGTTTGTTCAGAGACGCGAAAGGGGTCACTTGAGCTGCCCACAGGACGTTTCTTCGTCTGTTTTTTTGTTTTGTTTGTTTGTTTTTCGGGGAGGTTTCCTATGTACATTCGGGTGAGAAACTAGGCTAGTTGGTGCAGGATCCTGAGTTCTTGTTCGCTTCCCAAACGTTTTGTAGGAGTTGGCGCAGTCCTAGGTGATAAATTTAAGGCACTTTTCCTGCCGCTGGCAGAGAAGATTGCTGATGGTTGCAAAGGTTGTTTTTATCGCCAGGGGCGTGGGTTTGAGTGGAGAACCTTGAAGTCTCTGGTAATCTGCACCTTTGACGCATCAACCTCTACTTTACTATAGAATCGTTATGAGTCAGAATTGATTTGAAGACTATAGAGTAGGAGTGTCTTTCAAGGCTATTCCTGCTTACCTCCTGAAGTTCCTCGCCTGTCATTGCAATCCCAAATGCTTTTGTTGCTCTGTGCCTTACCATGAGGTCACTTTCAAACGTTTGAAGTTTCCCTTCACATTCCATGCCTATTCCTTTATTATCATTCACACTCTGGTGCCCCATTTGCTACTGAGAGACTGGAAGCCACCAGCAGCAGAATATCCCTTCAAGAGATAGGTGGCTTCTCCCAAAAGGAGTAGGCAACAGGTCTGGCCATCAACAAGGGGACAATACCTTGGTACCACCCAGTTTGTTTCCCAAGGAAGCATTGGCCATCTCACCTCTTATTCACATTCAAAATTCTACCTACAATCTTGATTCCCCTCTACAACTACTCAGGTTTCCCTGGCAAAGAAAACATCGAAAGCATTCACCACCTCATTTGCTTGCTGGGCAGAAAAAGCAGAAATGTGTGTGCTTCTCTGTTTCGATAACCTTGGTTCTGACTCATCACCCGTGTCACAAGAAATATGCAGGCTAGAATTGAGAGGGTTTAAAAAAAAAGAAATTATTGAGGGAGGTGCCACACTTAATGAAATTTGTAGTGTAATGGTTATGAATTGGGCTGTGAACCACAAGGTCAGCAGTTTGAAGCTACCAGCTGTTCCGCGGGAGAAAGATGAAGTGTTCTGCTCCCGAAAAGATTTACAGCCTCAGAAACCCTGTGAGTAGGAACCAACTCCACGGCACACGGCCAACCAGCCATGGCACCTGTAGTGAGGTTGGCCCAGGGTCAGGCAGTATTTCGTTCTGCTGTGCATAAGGTCGCTATGAGTCAGTACTGACTCGATGTCACCTAACAACAACAGGAGTCCTGGTGTGGCGCTATGGTTTAATGCACTAGACTGAAAGGTCGGATTGAACCAAAATGTTGGTGGTTCAAGCTCACCAGCCGCTCCTTGGAAACCCTATACAGGGTCACTATCGGTTGGAACTGACTGCATCAGTTAACAACAACAGGATGAAGGAGCTAGAGAGGAGAAGGAATGCTGGCTTGCTTTTGCTGAAATTCAGAGGAACTGACTTGGAAGACCCATGCCTTGCTTCAGCAACACCAGAGAAATCCTAGAAAGATGTGTGCTTTCTATGGGCTGTGGTGTTAGAAACAGGACTAATTCCATCTCCTTGCCCAGGAACGTCTTGATTGGTGTGGGGACATTGGCGTGATGAGCTGTCACTTGGCACGCACTCTGTTCCTGATCCCCATCCTCTAGCAAGGCTGTGGGCTCATTTCCCTGTCACTGCCATCTGACAGTGCTTGTAGCAGTAAAGGCCACTTTTTTAAAACATCACCTGCAGATTGGCCAGCTGTTGGTACACCTCTACTGACAAGAATAGGGAATGGTGGGAGTTTCCTGTTGGTGAGGTCTTTAGGAATGATGGGGTTTCCTGTGGCTAGCAAATGTTTGGAGAACTGGGATGGGGTGGACTTGATGGCCTGAAAAGGGTTTTTATTGTTCATCCTTCTCTAAAAAGCCTGAGATGTTAACTCAGAGGAGCCCTAGTGGTGCAGTGATTAAGCACTTAGCTGTTAACCAAAAGGCTAGAGGTTCAAACCTACCAGTTGCTCCGTGGGAGAAAGATGAAACAGTCTATATCCATAAAGATTGCTGCTAAGTGCCGTAGAGTTGGTTCTGACTTGTAGCGATCTGGCATAGGGTTTCCAAGGAGCAACTGGTGGGTTTGAACTATGAACCTTGTGGTTAGCAATTCAGTGCTTACCCGGCAGCACCACACCAGGACTCTCTGTAAAGATTAGAAACTCTATGGAGCAGATTTCTGACTGTGAGTCAGAATCGACTCTGATGGCAAAGGATTTAAGGCACCAACTTAATGTTTCCAGTCTCGCCAGTGGTACGGTTTGCTGGATCCTTAAGCAAAGTCTGGGAAGTAAGACGGCAGATTAGTCGAAACTGAAGCTGCTGCCTGGTCCGGGCTGATTGAAGCTCCGTCAAGCTCTTAATTGCAAATGTTTCTTGCCTGGCACTTTCTTCTTGATTTTTTTTTTTTTTTTTTTCCTGAGAGTTCTGGAATTCCCATTTTTGGCCCTCACTTTTGTATATAAGAAGTGGGAAAACATGAGTCATTTCCTCCTTTTAAAATTCTCCTTATGGTTCAGCCCTGAGTCAGTGGGGTGTGGGGTGCATTGTAGAAACACTGCTGAATGATACATCCTGTATCGGGCAGGCATTGGGTAATGGTGTCCGGGACCACAGAAGACTCCAAAGCTCAACTCACTTGCTTTCTCTCCTCCTCCATGTCTTCTACCACCTATTTTCCCTGGGTACTAGACCGTGGCCACTGTCAACCACAGTTTGCAAGTTTTTTTGATTATTCTAAATACCATTTATGTCTCAACATGTTTTCCACTTCCTTCCTCATTTTGGTTGAGCTCTGGTAGTGTAGTGGTTACGAATTGGGCTGCTAACCTCAGGGTTATCTGTTCGAAACTACCATCTGTTCCGCGGGAGAAAGATGAGGATTTCTGCTCCCATAAAGATTTACAGCCTCAGAAACCCTGTACAGGGTGGCTATGAGTGGGAACTGACTCCACGGCACATTACAACAACAACATACCTCCTAACTTCACCAGACTAATTCTCCAATTTATGGAAGAGTATTAATGGGCCTGGAAGATGTGGAGTTGGCTTTCTTTTTAAATTGAGGTGTAACTGATATACTATAAAATGGATACAGAATCCTGGTATGGCCCTGTGGGTGAATGCGCTGGACTGCAAGGTTGGTTTGAACCACAAGGTCAGCGGTTCAAACTCACCAGCCACTCCTTGGAAATCCTGTACAGGGTCACTATGAGTCATAACTGACTCAATGGCACTTAACAACAACAATAAAATGGACAAATATTAAGTGAAGACTTCAGTGAATGTTGACAGATGTCTACATCCCTGTAACCACCTCCCATTAAGATGTGGACTGTTTCCAAAAACTTCCTTCATGCCCTTTTCCTGTTAATCACCTGCCTGCCCTAGTGGCACCCAGCAATCTGATTTCCATCAGACCTTTCGATAGGTCAGGACTTTGAGCCCACCAGCTGCTCCATGAGAGAATGATGAGGCTTTCTGCTACCAAAAAGATTTTTTTGATGGTTAGTGCTGTGCAGTTTGTTCCAACTCATAGTGATCCTGTAGAGGGTTTCTGAGGAGTGGCTGGTGGATTTGAACCACTGACCTTGCAGTTGGTAGTCCAATGCTTATGCTACAGAGCCACATCAGGACTCCCTGATAAGTTCCACAGCCTCGGAAACGATATTCAGAGACGCTGTGAGTCAGGACAACAGGCCTTTTTATGAGGCGCTGGTGGTGGTGGTTCGATGGTAGCATTCTTGCCTCACATGCCGGAGACTTGAGTTTGATTCCCAGTCAGTGCACCTCAGACAGAATCACTCCCGTTTGTCAGTGCTGTTTGTGTGCCGCTGTGATGTTGGACAGACTAAGATAGACCAGGGAGAAAGGCCTTGTGGGACCTTGTCAATCTGCAGCTCATCACGGGGTCCCCATGAGTTGGGGTGAGCCAGACACAACTTGATGTTTCAGAGACCCATCTGTATCAGTCGTTTATCCCTTAGTACTGAGCAGTATTCTGTTTTATGTGACTAGATCACCTTTTTTAAGCCAATGTCAACTACGTCAGGAGCTAGGCAGAGCTCCAAACAACAGTGTCTGGGAAGTAGAGACTGCTATTGGTGCTGTAAGGGGCTCAGGTAGTGTAGTGGTTACAAATTGGGCTGCGAACCACAAGGTCAACAGTTCGAAACTGCCAGCTGTTACGTGGGAGAAAGATGAGGCTTTCTGCTCCCGTAAAGATTTACAGCCTCGGAAACCCTGTACAGGGTCGCTATGAGTCGGAACCGACTCCACAGCACATAACCAACCAACCAACATTGGTGCTGTGGATTGGTGTGCTGAACTGCAAAGTCGGTTTGATCTGCAAGATCAACGCTTCGAGCTCACCAGCCGCTCCTCGGAAACTCTATACAGGGTCACCATAGGTCAGAACCGACTCGATGGCACTGAACAGCAACAACAACATTGGAGTCCTGGTGTGGTGCTGTAGGATAAGCACTCAACCTCAAGGTCGGTTTGAACCGCAAGCTTGGTAGTTCAAACTCACGAGCCACTCCTCAGAAACCCTATATAGGGTTGCTATGAGTCAGAACCGCCTCGACAGCACACACCAACATTGGCACAATGGTTAGAGTGCTGCCCAAAAGTGGCAATTTAGACCCACCAGCAGCTCCATGAGAGAAGGGGTTGTGCAGTCTGCTCCTGTGAAGATTTACAGCCTCGGAAACCCTATGGGGCATATGACACTGTAAGCTATAAGCTCGCTGTAAGTCGGCATCGACTCCACAGCACACACCATGAATCTCCCATTTTCCAGATGAGGAAACTGAGGACCAGAAGGGTCAAATCAGTTGCCCTAACTGTTGCAGTTAAATGGCTTGGAAAGCCATCAGATCTAGTAACCACCACATTACACTGCCCCTCAGGTGTATGGACCAGGCCCTGAATTTCCACACAAAAGTGCTATCCTGGATTTTGCTGACAGATGCCTCACTCTTTTGCTTGGCAAACTCCTATTAGTGTTCAGTTCAACTTAGATGCTGAGCTCCAAAAAAAAGACTAGATTAGGTGTCCTCTGAGCCCTTTGCTCACCCCTAGCATCACACTTTAGCAGAGTTGCCAGTCTCCCAGACTGGACTCATCAGCTCCATGTCTGGCATTGTCATAATCATTATAATGTTGTGAAGTGCCCTCGAGTAGATCCCCACTCATAGTGACCCTGTATAGGGTTTCCAAGGAGCAGCTGATGGATGTGAACTGCTGATTTTATGGGAGGATCCATTCCAGGGAACGGCAGGCATATGGGATCTGAGGTTGTGAAATGGATTTGGGGACCAGCATGGTGGCAGTTTGTATGTTCTGGGAAATGATGTCACTTCCTTAGAGTGGAAGTGACATCATTTCCATACAAAAGTGCTGTGCTGGACTTTGCTGACAGATGCCCCACTCTTTTGCTTGGCAAACTCCTATTAGTATTCAGTTCAACTTGGATGCTGAGCTTCAAAACAAAAATTACTAGATTGTGTGCCCCATGCGCCCCTTTGCATACCCCTAGCATGCCCCTAACTCTCACTGCTGAGGGTTGGGGAGCGACAGTAGGTGGTGTCATGTGACTTCAAGGATATCTCTCTCTTCTTCACTAGTAGAGAAGCTTTCAGGGTGGCAATTTCCTGGGGAAACAGATGTCTGCAGCTGTATAGGTATGAGAGGAGAGGGGCTGGGAAGCGGGGCGTAGATTCTATCTAAGTCTGGGAGGGCAATTCTTGGCCTACTCTTTCTCTTCCCTTCTGCCTTTGATCTGCTTTCTGGGTTGTCTTTCTTGGTGTGAACTTAGATGGAGAACATGGAAACATGGATGGGGTGAACTCTGAAGGCTCTGAGTCTTCCTTCATCCTGAAATTTAGGATTTTGCTTTTGTATTTCATTTCATTGCAATGATTACAATCTCCTCCATGCATCATCATTCAACAGCATTTGCTTCCATTCCCTTTGTTGTTGTTTTTTTAAGTACACCGAAGCACTCAGGAGTATATAACCACTCAAACAACCAAAGGGAACACCCCTCAAGCCTGCCCTCCCCCTGGCCATCAGCACACAGCCCCTCTCCCTGAGTCCAGAGTCCCCAATGCTCCATCTCTCCGTCATCTCTGGTGTCACTGCTTCTCTGGGTAGGGTCCCACACTACGCTCTTCTCCCTTGATGGTCCCAGGGTCCTCTGCTCCTGGACTGCAAGATCAACCACTCCCCTCCTTTTGTTACAAAACGTCTACCTTTACATTTGCAACATTCACAATCAATCCTGATAGCTATTATTCATTATTGAACCACAAGAGTCTCATCCCCATCTCCTTTCACCAGCCCCATCTAGACAGGTTGGAAACTATCCAGTGGCGATTCTACTTTCCCCCGCACCCTCTGAAACTAGGCTCCCTCTTGAAAACTTGTAAGCCAGTCACTTAGTGCCTTTGTAGCTCTCCCATTTTGGGTAGCCAATGTCTAAGTTGCCCATCCTTGTCAACCCTGTGTACCGAGGGTGATCCTCACTGTAAAGATTCGTTCCCTCTTTTGAGCTACTACATCCATAAGTATAGGTCAAGTTCATCAAATTGTAGTGGATTGCTCTTTTTTTCCTCTAGTCAAGTTCTGGTCATCCAGCCATTGAAGCCAGGTGAAATGGGTACTATCTGCAAGTATGGGTGTTCTTGTGCATCTCCCCTCACTTCATATCAGCTGGACACTTCACTCTCTGCTCTAGTCCTCCGTGGCCATGTCCCTGTCCCTGGGCCCAGGAGTCCCCAGGTCTCGCCATACTGCTGGCCAACAAGGTCTCAACCCGGGTTGACAGGAGTCTATTGAACATGGTCGGACTTAGCTCACAACTTCATTGTTATTTTTCCCCTACTTCCCCTTATTGGTAGACCATCGTGGTCACCAGTAAGACCATATGCCTGCTTGTGTATTCCCATTGAGTCTCAGTCTTGGAATTGAGTTTTCTCTGAGGGGACCGACCGCTTGCCTTGATGGCTCCCCAGCAAACAACTTGCTTGGTCTTGTAGTATAATCTCAGGGACTTAAAAAATTTTTTTTCCCAATGACCTTTTATTTTGGAATAACATTAAAGCCAGTTGTCCTGGCTGGCGTCAATTCTGACTCATGGAACCCCTTTGCATTTTCCTGGAATAGATTTACAGATAAGTTGCAGAGGTTTTACAGAAAGTCCCTCATGTATGCTCTTCATCCAGCTTCCCCTAATGTCAGCATCTTACAGAACCGTGGCGCATTTGTCAAAACGAAGAGATTGACGTTCGCATATTGCTGTTAGCTCTAGGAAGTCCTGGTGTAGAGCTGTGGGTTAATGCGCTGGACTGCAAGCTTGGTTTGAACTGCAAGGTCAGCAGTGTAACCTCTGAAAACCCTGTACTATGAGTTGGAACCGACTTGATGGCACTTAATTACCTCTAGACTTTATTTGGATTTTGCCCATTTTTCCTTTCCTATAATGTCTTTTTCCTGTTCCAGGATCTAGTTGGCCCGACAGTTGTTTTCAAGCTTTCTAAATCATGCACTCCCCTTTGGTGGGAAAAATTTTGAGCATGTCTTCCTTAATATGTTTCTTTTTTTTTTTTTTTATTACCCATACTGATGGGCTAGGAGTCCTGGTGTGGTGCTGTGGGTTAATGCACCAGACTGCAAAGCCATGTGAACTGCAAAGTCAGCAGTTCAAGCTCACCAGCTGCTCCTCAGAAACCCTATACAGGGTCATTATGGGTCAGAATCCACTCGACGTCACTTAACAACAACACCATATTGATGGGCTCAGCGTTGGGCTACTAAACCATAAAATCCACCAGCTGCTCTGGGAGAGAGATGAGGCTTTCTGCTCCCATGAAGATAAACAGCCTTGGAAACTATACAAGGTCTCTGAGCTGGAACCGACTCAGCAGCATGTAACAACTCTATACTTGGGGTTCATGAAATGTAATTTGTTGTGTGACTTTAATTTTCCAGGGAATGGGACTATGGTTTGATAAGATTATATTTCTGATTAATTCTTTATTGTGATTAAATGCCATCAAGTCAGTTCCGACTCATAGTGATCGTGTTAGGGTTTCTGAGGACCAGCTGGTGAGTTTGAACCTTTGACCATGTGGTTCAAACTGACCTTGTGGTCCAGTGTTTAAACCTACAGCACCACACCAGGTTCAATCTTTGTTGTTGTTGTTGTTAGGGGCCATTGAGTCGGTACCGACCCATAGCGACCTTATGCACAGCAGAATGAAACACTGCCTGATCCTGGGCCAACCTCACTACTGTTGCCACGCTTGAGTCCATTTAGTTGGCAGGAAATAGACGAGTCACTTGTTGAGTGTTTGACCCGGCGTTGAGGGCTTTCTTTCCTCTTTGCTCTCTCAGCAGGAGACATATGTATGAGAAACGAGTTCCAGTGCCATGATGGGAAATGCATCTCCTACAAGTGGGTTTGCGACGGGACTGCTGAGTGCCAGGACGGCTCTGATGAGTCCAAGGAGACATGCTGTGAGTCCCCTCCCAGCGCGGCGTGCCTCCTGACCCTTTACGGTGATGGCAGGTGGGAAAGTGGCCAGCAGATTTATGTTGTTCACTGGACTGCTAACCACAAGGTTGGCAGTTCAAACCCACCAGTCGTTCCATGGGAGAAAGAAAGCTTTCTGTTCAAATAAAGATTTACAGCCTCAGAAACCCTATAAGGGCTGCTATGCATCAGTATTGACTCGATGACAGGGTTTTGGGTCCTTTAACAAGGAGACCTGCTGACACAGTGGGTTACGTGTTGGGCTGCTAACTAGAAAGTTGGCAGTTCAAACCCATCAGCCACTCCATGGGAGAAAGGTGAGGTCCTCGGAACCTTATGGAACAGTTGTGCTCTCTCATAGGGTTGCTCTGAGTCGGAACTGAAAGACGCCAGTGGTTGGGTTATTGTTGTTAAGTGCCATTGAGTTGATTCCAACTCACAGTGACTCTGTGTAGGGTTTCCAAGGAGTAGCCGATGGGTTTGAACTGCCGACTTTGTGGTTCATAGTCCAGTGCTGATCCTACAGCGCCACACCAGGAGTCCCATGGGGGGGGGTGGTACTTTAAAGGAGCCCCTGGGTGGTGCAGATGGTTATCACACTTAGCTACCAACCAAAAGGCTGGAGGTTCGAGTCTGCCCAGAGGCACCTTAGAAGAAAGCCCTGGGGGTCAACTTCTGAAAACTCAGCCATTGCAAACCCTATGGGGCATAGTCGAAAACCCAACCTCATGGATGCACGTGGGGTTGCCATGAGTTGGTGTCAGTGTGCTGGCAACAAACTCATGTCTAACTTGCTCCATCAACTGCCCTTGTTGAAATTCCCCACAAAGTGGAATTCACATCATCTTTCTCAAGACTCTCGCCTGCTCCCGTAAAGATTTACAGCCTTGGAAACCCTACAGAGGGTCACTGTGGGTTGGAATCGACTCAGGGGCACTGGAGTTCTTCCTTTGCAAAGATAGGGCTGGTGAGGTGGAACGGTCTTCCCTTTGAGTTAAGGCTCAGGCCCATTTCTCCCATAGTGTCCGTCACCTGCAAATTTGAGGACTTCAGCTGTGGGGGCCGGGTCAACCGTTGCATTCCTCAGTTCTGGAGATGCGATGGCCACGTGGACTGTGAGAATGGCTCAGACGAGCAAGACTGTGGTGAGTGTGTACTCAGCATGACCTGTGTGGCTCAGCCCAGCCCCTTCCTGCCCGTGATGGCACCCTGCTTCCCGGGATTGGTGCACAAACCGTTTCCTGCTACTGGACTTTGTTCTTAAGCGGCCCTGCCCCCACTGTGGCCTGCACTAGGCTTTGTCTCTTGGGGAGATCATAGCAGGCCCCTCAAATCGCACCTGAACCAAGAGGAAGATTGTGTTTACTATCTCCTCTTGGGGTCATCACACATTGTTAAGATCCCCGCACATGGTCCAAGTAGCCACTGTGACCACCGTCAGCCACCTCACCTTGTCCCTGGGAGACTGAGCACATAGCAGGTGTGAGCTGGTCAAGATGCAATCATCCAACCAACCACTAAGAGTCAGACACGCAGTGGAGGGTTATGTTAAGCAATGAGATAAAAAAAATGTATAGAAGCCAAAGGTGGCCACGGGGTGAGAGGAAGTGGGAACAAGGTGGAATTACTGCAGAAGTGGCACTGAATTGAGGGGAAAGGAAAAATTAGGAAGCAGATACCAGTGATGGGTGTACAAATCAGTGTGTGTGATGAATGCCATGGGAGTATACACATAAAAATGTGGAAATGGCCAGTCTTCTGTTCTCTTATATTTTTACTGCAATTAAAAAAGAAGAAGAAAAAAAAAAAGAACTATGGCCAAGATTCCTAAATGGGATGGTATTTTGGAGCTGGGTGTGGTTGGTCTGGGCTCTTAAGTGCAGTAACAGCCAAGTCCTAAGTAGCACTTCCTGTGTGCTGGATCCCTGTCTGAGAGCTTTACTATAGGAACTCACTGATCTTCACAAAAGATGAGGAAACTGAGGCACAGAGGAACAGTGGCTTGGCCAGTGTTGGAGTGGGACAGGTGGGACCTGGGCAGTCGGTTCAGGGTGCAGGGCCTTGACCATTAGCCTGTGCGCCTCTCCACTTACACGCTGACCAGGCCTAGGCTCCTCCCTGGCACAGTTTCCACATTTCCAGGCAGGGTTGTTGTTGGGGTCTGTGGTGACCAGGTTTTTTCCTCCCGCCCACCTCACAGCTCCCAAGACATGCTTGCCGGACGACTTCCGCTGCACTGATGGCAAGTGTATCTCAAAGAATTTTGTCTGTGACGGGGACCGGGACTGCTTGGATGGCTTGGACGAGGCCAACTGTACTGTGTCCACCTGTGGCCCTGCCACCTTCCAGTGCAACTCCTCTACCTGCATCCCCAAGCTGTGGGTCTGTGATGGTGACCTGGACTGCAAAGACGGCTCTGACGAGTGGAACTGCAAGAGTCCCAACAGCAGCCTCTGCTCCAGCCGGGAGTTCCACTGCCACAGTGGCGAGTGCATCCATGCCAGCTGGCTCTGCGACGGCGGCGCCGACTGCAAGGACAAGTCAGATGAGGAGAACTGCAGTAAGACTGGGCTTCCTGGGCCATGGGGCACGGTTGCCATAGGCGCTTCATTGATTGTAAATCCCCCAGTAGCGGAAACTGGTCCCATTTCCCTTTCTCGTCACTGTGCCTCCAACATCTTGTCAGTCCCTTTGGAGTCAGGGAGCAAGCCACACTGCACTATCATCGGTCCTGGAAGGATCCTGGGTCCTAGGCCAGGGCTGGAGGTGTACGAGCTGAGGGACTCAACCTCACTGAGTCTCCCTGCAGCATTGCCGTGTGTGGGTTGTGGTTAGAGTCCAGCTCTGCCCAAGAGAACGTTTAGTGATGGCGGAACTCTTCTCTCAGCCAAGTCCAGCACAGTAGCCACTAGCCCCATGTGGCTATCGGACACTGAAATGGGGCTCTCAAATTATATTTCATTTTAGAGAATTTGAAGTTTTAACAGCCACATAGTGACTATTAAGATAAAGAATGTGGCCCTGTAAGAGGTCCTGTGGTGGTGTTCCTGAAATGGGATCATTTACTGTGACTCTAATGGGTGAGTGTTCCACTAGTAGCTGAAAGATCTGGCAGTTCAAATCTACTCCTAGGCACCTTGGGAGACAGACCAGGCTGTCTGTGATAATGATAATTCTGTAGAGGAGTTGTATTCTACACACAAGGGGTTGCCATGGGTTAGGCCCATTCGTGAATTTTAGATGCTAACAGAAACAAATCCAGGTTTGAGTCCACCCAGAAAGCCCTCAAAGATAAATTTGCCATTGGAAACCCTGTGGAGCCCAGTTCTGTTCTGACACGTGTGGGCTCACCATGAATCAGATTTGAGTTGTTGTGTTAGAAACACTATGAACCCAGAACATGCTCTCATTCTTCTGGGGTTTTATTTTTTTTTTCCTCCCGTCATGACCCACGTACAGTCAGTTTCCTGACTGTTTCAATCCTTGTGTATATCCAAACGTGTTTGCAGGAGCCCTGGTGGTGCAGTGGTTAAGCACCCCCAGGATAACCTGTAGGTGGTTGGTCAAAACCCATCAGCTGCTCCCTGGGAGAACACTATGGCAGTGGGCTTCCATAAAGAGTAACAGCCTTGGGAACCCTATGGGGCAGGTCTGCTCTGTGACCTGGGGTCACTATGAGTCAGAATCAACTTGATGGCATACAACAACAATCTTGTTTTAAAGTCACATTTTATAAAACAAGTGGTGGCTTTGCATGTGATCTGTTCTAAAGCTTAACGCAAACTCATTTGCGCTCCATACCTGTGAGGTGTAGTTTGCCCACTTTACAGATGAGGAAACTGAGGCACAGAATGGCGGGGTGGCCCTTCTCCTAAGGACACACAACTATAAGACAAAAGCCATTGTCATTCAACCACATTATTTGGTAGTGCTCCAACCAAGTTGTTTTTGTTCAGTGTAAATTCAAACACCTGGTTTAAAAAGCCATCTCGTCTGGTCTTCTTTGTAAGCGATTTTATTGTGAACTGCAACATACAGAAAAGTGCGTAAAGCACAAATACTCAGCCTGGCAGGAGGCAAACCTGGGTGAGGTCAGGTTCTAGAACACTACCAGCCACCACATACCTACTCTGATAAACACTGGGCTACTAACTGTGCAAGGTCGCTGGTTGGAACCCAGTAGCCGATCCTCAGGAGAAAGATGAGGCTGTCTTTGTCTTCCCCTGTCAAGTTTTACAGCCTGCAAAACCCTGTCTGGGTCACTGTGAGCTAGAATCCATGGCAGTGGGTTTTTTCATTTCGCATAATCACATAAGCATTGTTCATGTTCACAGCTGGTCGTTTCAACAACTGTGTTTTCTGCTGTTGGTCCCAGTTCAATCTGGCCTAGTTTCTTGAGCTCCTCTCTGACCGGTAACAGCCGCTCTGTCTGCCTCCATCCAGGTTGGGGAGTGTCGCTGCTGCCCTCCTGATGACAGCGTACTGGGTCTGTGTTCTGTGTTCTAAAAGTCACATGAGGAAGGCCTGGAGGGACATCTGAGAAAACCTTAATGGTTATGTTAGCAAGTTAGGATTTGAGGTGATTTATCTCCCCCTTCCCATTTTCTCAATTTGGCTCAGCTACTTTAAAAGTAATTTTCCTTTGTTCTTTTTCACCGAGTACAAACACTGTTGTAAAAACAAAATCTTTTGAAATCTGCCTTGGGTGACAGTTTGAATGTGAAGATAGGTAGTGGGCAGGAAGGCTACCTCCTTGTTACCTCCTTTTCCTGGGTCTCATCTCTCTTGGAGCGTGAAATCAGCCATTTCCTTCTCAGTTGATGTTGTGAAGTACCGTTAATTCGATTCCAACCCATAGCGACCCGGTATAGGGTTTCTGAGGAGCAGCTGGTGAGCTTGAACTGCTGAACGGGCAGTTCAAACGGCTTTGCAGTCTGGCACATTAATAAGATAAGGCATTCCTTTTTCATCTCTAAAGCCCTTGGCCACATGGCTGCTTCGGAGTGGGAGGGATTATACTCCGTTCCTAGAGAGTCAAGTCAACCCCTTGTCTTTTCCAGCCGTGGCCACATGCCGACCCGACGAGTTCCAGTGTGGGGATGGGACCTGTCTCCATGGCAGCCGGCAGTGTGACAAAGAGTATGACTGCAAGGACTTGAGCGATGAATTGGGCTGCATCAATGGTGAGTCTGCGCCAGGGACGAGGACAGGTACAGCGGTGCCGTGACCTCATCTCTCAGTGCTTGGCTGTTGGTGAAGCACTCTGCAGAGTTGGAGGGCCATCAGGGAAGATGTTGCTGGTGAACTCAGTGTGGGCCTGGGCTTTAGGACTTGACCTCCCCTTGAGCCCGGCATCAGATGTGCAGGAGAAAAGCCCCTCCTTCAGGCTTGGGGGACGTACACAGAGCTCACAGCTGCAGGCAGAACACAACATTTATAGAGCAGTTCCACGCCTGGGAATGTTCTCAGTAGACGCTGAACCAGGCACTGGGAGATGCGCTCTGAAGCGGTCCCTAGAGCACGATCTTAGTAGGAACACCTGAGCGCAGCCCAGAGGTTCTGGTTCCCCAGCAGTTCAGTGACTCCTGTGGTATAGTCACTGAGTGGAATATTAGATGTTAGAGCAAGTGTGACAATAGCAGCCCAGGACCCTCACGACCTTGGCATTGGGAGAAAGAAGCAGTTTCAGAAGACTAACTAGATGGAGTTATCTCAGAAATAAGCGGAGCCACCTAATACCTTGCTCATCAATAGGAAGGGGCTTAAAAATTTTTGTGAAAAGATTCCATTCTTTTTCCATTTCATTTTTTCCAAGACACTCCATCATATATGTTGTTGTAAAGCACTGTCAAGTCGATTCCGACTCATTTGACCCCTGTATAGGATTTCCGAGAGGCAGCTGGTGGGTTTGAACCGCTGACCTTATGGTTCACAGTCCAGTGTGTCTCCTACATCAGAACTAAGGAAACGGTGACGTGAATCCAGAGTTGAGACCTTGTGGATCTTAGCAGGTCAGGACAGGAAAAGGCGGCCATGGTAGTCTAGGTCAGGGGTCAGCAAAACTTTTCTGTAAGTGACCAGAGAGTAAATAGCTTTCAGAACTACTTAACCTTGACTTTGTGCTAATAAAACTTTATTGAAATGAAGCAAATTGGCCCTTAGTACAAAATCTGCAGAACCCTGCCTAGGTAACATTCTAATTCTTAAGAAAGGTTATTGGGAGTTCAATCATTATTATGTTTTATTTGTAAATAGTTGCATAAATTCTTGGTTGCATGAACTGTTCTATAATAGACTCCTAAGCCATCTCCTACCTTGTGACTGACCTTCCTGTCTCTGGTTGTTGTAGTGACCTTGTGTGAGGGGCCCAACAAGTTCAAATGCCACAGTGGCGAATGCATCACCCTGGACAAAGTCTGCAACTCGGTCAGGGACTGCCGGGACTGGTCGGATGAGCCCCTCAAGGAGTGTGGTGAGCCCCAGGGTGCAGGCAGCCCTCGTGGGGGTGGGGGGTGGGAGGGGATGGAGTTGCTGAGGTTCGGACCCCTTCCAGGAGAGCAGGCCAGTCCTAACAGACCTGCAGGAGCTTGGGCTCTGGGGTGGATGTGTGAGGGACAGGGACAGGTGACTTCACTTCTGAGCCTCTGTGTTCATATTCATCAGATGGGACAGTAAATGCTCACAGGTCCTAGGGTTGTGAGAGGACTGACTGGCGAGACGCTTTCCAGAACACTGGGCTTTAGGAAGCGCCCTGTGGACTGGAGCTATGCACTAACAAGGGGTTTCAGGAGACTTCCTCTGAAAACAGGAATTCTAAAAAATGTAATTTCTTTGCCTTGGAAGTCTCTTGAGAATTTTGCTATTTTGAATTAAGATGTTGTGGTGGTTTTACAAAACAGTAGGCACCTCCTAACCTTCATGTAGTGCTGGAAGATGAAAACATTATGAATACCGCCAGAACATTGTCACATATAGTGCCGGAACATGATCCCCTCAGGTTGGAAGATGCTCAAAATACAACTGGGGAAGAGCTGCCTCCTCAGAGTAGAGAGAGTTGACTGTGATGCCGCGAATGGAGTGAAGGCTTCAGGATTTTCATTTGTTGATGGGACACAACTCAAAATGAGGAGAAACAGCTGTAAACATCCATCAATAATCGGAATATGGAATGTACGCAGTATGAATCTAGGAAAATTAGAAATGCTAAAAAATGAAATGGTATGCATAAATATCAATTTCCTAGGCATTAGTGAGCTGATGTGGACTGGTATAGGCCATTCTGAATCTGACATTCACATGGTTTACTATGCTGGGAACAACCAACTGAAGAGGAATGGCATCGTATTCATCATTCAAAAGTACATTTCAAGATCTATCTTGAAGTACAGTACTGTCTGTAATAGGATAACATCCATACACCTACAAGGAAGACTGGTTAATACCACTACTATTGACATTTACACACCAACCATTAAAGTCAGTGATGATGAAATTGAATTCTACCAACTTCTTCAGTCTGAAATTGATCAAACATGTAATCAGAATGGATTGAATAGTTACTGGTGATTGGAATACAAAAGTTGGAAACAAAGAGGAAGGATTAGTAGTTGGGAAATATGGCCTTGGTTATAGAAACAATGCTAGAGATTGCATGATAGAAATGTATACGAAACCAATGCTCAGCATTTCTCAAGCTGAGGGAACTGAAGAAAAAATTCAAGTCTCGACTTGAAATGTTGAAGGGCTCCATGGGGGGCATGTGGCGCTATGGGATAAGCACTGGACTGCAAGGTCAGTTTGAACTGCAAGGTTGGCAGTTCAAACTCACCAGCCGTTCCTTGGAAACCCTATACAGGGTCACTATGAGTCAGAACCAGCTTGACAGTACGTAACAACAACATGGGCATCAAAAGAGGATTGAAAGTATATAGATATTCACTGTACCATAAAGAAGTAGTCGATGTTCAGCCATTTCAAGAGGTGGCATATGATCAAGAACCAATGGCATTGGAAGAAGTCCAAGGTGCACTGAAGGCATTTGTGAAAAACCAGACTGCAGGAAATGACGGAATGTAAACTGAAAGCTTTCAGCCAACTGATACAGCCTGTAGGTGCTCATTCATCTATGCCAAGAAATTGACCTGGCCAGTCAATTTCAAAAAGTCTATATTTGTGTCCATTCCATACAGAGGTGACCTGACGGAATGCAGAATTCATCGGACCATATCGTTAGTAGCACATGTAAGTAAAATTTCGCTAAAGATAATTCAAACACGATTCTAGCAGCACACTGACAGAGAACTGACAGAAATTCAGCTCGTTTTCAGAAGCGGATGTAGAACAAGGGATATAATATGGATATTGGCTGAAATCAGGGAGTACCAGAAAGATGTTCACCTGTGCTTTATTGACTATGTGGATCATGACAAACTATGGTTAGCATTGCAGAGAATGAATATTCCAGAACACTTAATTGTATTCCTGAGGAACCTTCATGTACATTGACCAAGATGTACATAGACCAACCTTCGTATACATAGTCATTCAAACAGAACAAGGGGATACAGAATGTTTTAAAATCAGGAAAGGTGTGTGCCGGCGTTGTATTTTTTCACCAGACTTACTCAATGTATATGCTGAGCAAATAATCCAAGAAGCTGGGTTCTATGAAGAAAAACGTGGCATCAGGATTGGAGGAAGACTCATTAACAACCTGCGATATGCAGATGATACAACCTTGCTTGCTGAAAGTGAAGAGGACTTAAAATATTTACTGATGAAGATCAAAGACCACAGCCTTCAGTATGGATTGCATCTCAATGTAAAAAAAACTAAAATCCTCACCACTGGACCAATGAATTATGATCATAGAGAAAAGATTGGATTTGTTAGGGACTGCATTTTATTTGGATCCTCAAGCACACTCATGAGAGTAGCAGTCAGATTAAATGATATATTGCATTAGGCAAATCTGCACAAGACTTCTATAAACTTCAAACTTTTCTAAACAAAGCTATCAGCTTGAGGACTAAGGTGTGCCTGATCAGGCCATGGTATTTTCAGTAATCTCATGTGCATGTGAAAGATGGACAATAAATAAGGAAGATTGTAAAAGAATCGATGCATTTGAGTTATGGTGTTGGAGAATATTGAAAGTACCTTGGACTGCCAGAAGAGCAAACAAATCTGTCTTGGAAGAACAGCCAGAATGCTCCTCAGAGCCAGAATGGCGAGATTTCATCTCTCATATTAACTGTGTCATCTGAAGGGACTAGTTCCTGGAGAAGGGCATCATGCTTGGGAAAGTGGAGGGTCAGTGAAAAAGAACACCCCCAATGAGGTGGATTGGCACAGTGGCATCAGCAAGTATAACAGCGGTTGTGAGGATGCCATGGCATTGTGCATGGAATTGCTATGAGTCACGACCAACTTGATGTCTGTCACCTAATGACAATACCTGATGACACGTGTGGTTGCTATGGAAAGACCCTATTAGGAAGAGCTGAGGAGTATAGAGCAGGGTTGACAAACTTTATATCAATGGCCACAGAGTGAAGATTTCGGACTATGTGTCTTGCAGTCTTTGTAGTAGCTGCTGCCCTCTGATTGTACCATGAAAGAAGTCATAATATAAAGAATTGAATGTGCCTCTGTTCCCACCCTGACTCGGCAACCCTATCGGACAAAGTAGAACTGCCCCATACACTTCCAAGACTGTACATATGGATGCAGACTGCCTCATCTTTCTCCTAGAAAGCAGCTGATGGGTTCAAACTGCCAACCTTTCGGTTACCAGCCAAGCATTTAACTATGGCACCACCACGGCTCCGAGCTGTGTTCCAAGAGAACTTGAGATTTGAATTTTATATCATTTTTATGTGTCAGGAAATATTTTTCTTTTGATTCTTATTTTTTCAGTTATCTGAAACTGCAAAAACCATGCTTAGTCACACACAAGCTGTATAGAAACAGGTGATGAGTGGATTTGGCCCGTCCCTGGTAGAAGAGGGTCAGAGGATAGATTCTGGAGCTAAATGCCCCAGCTTCTAGTCCAACTGTGTGAATACAAACAAGCCATTTAACAGGCTATCTATCCCTTAGTTTCCTCGCTTGTAAAATGGGAAGCCATTGGTTCAGCCACCTTTAAGATCGTTAAAAGAATTGAGTTAGTATATGTGTAATATGTGATTCCTTTAAGGCCTCTTAGGGGTCATTTCAAGAAGCCCTAGTGGTGCAGTGGTTAAGTGCTCAGCAGCCAACTGAAAGGGGTTTGAGCCCACTACCCGTGCTCAGCAGAAGCATGTGACTGGTAGCATCTGTAAAGATTACTGTGTTCAAAACCACCAGGGGGTTCAACCTTGCCCTATAAGGTGCTATGAGTCGGAAGTGACTTGATGGTGGTAGCTCTAGGGTTGGGTTTTGGTTAGGGTCATATCATTTTTCTCACGGCTAAGTCATCATTGTGTCAAGTTGATGCCTCCTCATGGTGACCCTGCGTGTGTCAGAGTAGAACTGCGCTTTACTGCCCGTAGGGTTCTCAGTGACTGTTTTCAGAAGCAGATCCCCAAACCTTTTCTTCCGAGGTGAACTGGAGCCACCAACCTCTTGGTTAGCAGCCTTTGTGCATGAATTGTTGGCATGGCCCGAGGTCACAGAGGAGCAGGGGAAAGGCAAACCGGAGGCCTAAACATAACCTGTGTGTTCCTCATCTGCCTTAGGTACCAACGAGTGTCTGGACAACAAAGGCGGCTGTTCCCACACCTGCAACGACCTCAAGATTGGCTACGAGTGCCTCTGCCCTGAGGGCTTCCAGCTGGTAGACCAGAGACGATGCCAAGGTGATTCCCAGCAGCCCCGGCTCATGTAAAGAAAGTGTGAAAACAGGGTCGCCCCTCACAGGGTTCAGTGAGACACCCAGTGTGGGGAGCATTTAGCTTTCAGCACGTCTTGCCTTCTGACATTAATAATGAAGAAATTTCAGCCGATGCAGCTTCTCCCTGGCTGGGCCCCTGAGGGTGGACAGTGAGACCGGAGTCATTGCTGGGGACCACACTTAGCTAGCTCCTTGGTCCAGAGGAGACAGGCTGTTCCCTCCCGCGGTTGGCAGCCATGGAGTTGGATCTGGGTCCTCTCTGAGTGTGTTACTCCACCTGCAGCCTGTGGGAGGTGTCTCAAAGAAATCCTCCTCCGGCTCTTGACTTGCAGATATCGATGAATGCCAGGACCCCAACACCTGCAGCCAGATCTGCGTGAACTTTGAGGGGGGCTACAAGTGCGAGTGCCACGTGGGCTTCCAGATCGACCCCTATACCAAGTCCTGCAAGGCCATCGGTGAGCATGGGGAGGAGCGAAGCAGGTGGGAGGCGCTGGCCTTGGTCGCGGTAAAAGCAAAGGCCTTTGGGAGTTTCATCATTTGAACTTTGCCTTGGAAACCAAACAGAACACAATAAAGTGACCTGGCCAGCAGCGTGTTTGTGCTGGAGGCCATCTGGCAGGTGGCTGAGGAACCCTGTTCCATGTGACTGGCCAGCACGTGGCCAGCTTCTCAGTGATCGCTGGGGACTGCCACAGAGCCCATGTCTGGTTAAAGTGATTGCCATCTGTAGCACGTGGCCCTTTCAGGAAGGGACTTGGGGGTAAGAAATAGAAAGGCTGCACCCCACAACTATTCTTGTTGATTCACCAGTAGCCAGGGGCCATGGGACCAACCCTGGGTGTCAGAGTAGACTTGTACCCCTAGGGTCTGTGGTGGGTGACATTTTGGAAGTTACACCACCAACCTTGGATAGCAGTAAGCACATTAGACCATTTCCACCCCCAAAAGCTCCCCCGGAAAAACAAACCTGCTGCTGTTCAGTCAATTCTGCCTCATAGCAACCCTGTCTGTATGGGGTTTCTGAAACAAGTTACAGAAGCAAACGGCTTCTTCATCTTTCTCCCAAGGAGCAACTGGTGGATTTGAACTGCCAACTTTGTGGTCAGCAGTCCAGTGCTTATCCGACAGTGCCACTAGGGCACTTTTTACCACCTAGGGACTCTGTAAATGTTGTTAAGTGTTGGTCGAGTCAGTTCATAGCGACCCAGTATAGGGTTTTCAAGGAGCGACTGGTGGGTTTGAACCACTGACCTTATGGTTAGCAGTCCAGTGCTGATCTTACAGTGCCACCCCAGGACTCCCAGTCAATATTAACTGGTGCTATTTCTCTTCATCTTTATCTTCTAAAATGTACAATTCTGGGGCCCATGGAGGTGTCCCACCCTGTTTCCTGGGTATTTCCTCTGGTTCGCCCAGAGCCTGTGAGTGACTGGCACAGATGGCAAGGACACTGTTGATCCACTGGGGGCTTTGCACTGCCCTGACCATCCTCCCTGGCTTTCAGGCACCATTGCCTACCTCTTCTTCACCAACCGCCACGAGGTGAGGAAGATGACGCTGGACCGGAGCGAGTACACCAGCCTCATCCCCAATCTGAAGAACGTGGTTGCCCTGGACACTGAAGTGGCCAACAACAGAATCTACTGGTCTGACCTCTCGCAGAAGAAGATCTACAGGTGAGCGCTGCCCTTGGCATCCCACAGCTCCCAGTGAAATGACCGCCCGCCACCTGACACCAGCTCTCCTCCCTTTGCAGCACCCAGATCGACAGAGTCCATGGCTTCTCCTCCTACGACACCGTCATCAGCAGGGACCTGCAGGCCCCGGATGGACTGGCTGTGGACTGGATCCACGGCCACATATACTGGACCGACTCTGTGTTGGGCACCGTCTCAGTGGCTGATACCAAGGGCGTGAAGAGGAAAACGTTACTAAAGGAGAAAGACTCAAAGCCCCGGGCAATTGTGGTGGACCCCACTCATGGGTGCGTATTTCCAAAACTCAGGAGTGCAGGGGTAGGAGGATGGGTGCAGGGGAGGGGGTCAGAACCCGGTTGGTACTAGAGAGGGAGACTGAGCAGGTGTGGACTGTCCCGACTGTAGACTGGAGATAGCAGCAGGGGCTGGGCCACTAGAAAACAGTGCAAACTGGTGACCCAGTTGCTAATGAGGCCGCTTTGACTTGTGGTAACCGTGTGTGTCACAGTAGACCTGCTCCATCGGATTTACAGTGCTTGATGCTTCGGAATTAGACTGCTAGACCTTTCTTCCCAGGAATTTTGGAATGGACTCGAACCTCCAACCTTGTGGTTAGCACATTAACTGGGATTCCTTAATGGAGACTCAATCCGGGGGACTTCTTCACCGAGTGCTGGAGACCACAAGGGAAAGATCTCTCTTGGTGTCTGTTGACCTGAGATGGAAACAGGCAGGGAAACATTTTATCCTGCCTTCAGGATAAAATTTCACAACCAGAAATTGAAGATAGAATTGGAGGAAAGTCAAAACATGCGGGGCCTCCATTGCGGACTCTGCAGTTGGGGTTGATGAGCCGGCTCAGCTGCAGACCCTCAGGGAGATGGCAAGGGGCTGAGTAGCTCCATGGTCCTGACAAAGGCATCCGTGCCTGTGCCCCCTCCCCTGCACCTGTCAGGCCACATCTGCCACCTCAGCACATCAGATGTGGAAGTTTACAGTTTCAACAACAGTTGGAGGAAGCAGTGTTTGGTCTAGAGCAGTTAATGTCAGGGAGAAGTGTGGCCTCAGGATACGAACACATATAGGGCGAAAGAATGTTGGGGGAATGGTTGGCCTGGGGGAGCGAGCCCACTGGTCTAGAGGACAGGAGGTTGACAGGAGGTGGTGTGTGTTATGCTCATGGAGTACCCTGGGGGAAGGGAAGGTATCCTAACTCAGGGCAAAAGAGCCCCTAGCAATGAGGGCGGGACAAGCAGGGTACTGGTCCCAGTTGAGCAAGACAAATGCTTAAGGGTGTTGAAGGGACCTTGTCCACTGCCCACTGTTTCCACACAACTGCCAGGAGCAAGAGCTTGTTCCCAGATCTTCACTCAGCTCCAGGGATGGGAAGGTCGTGTCTACACTGCTTTTTACCCGACACCCTTTTATCTATACAATGAGGTTTGCTGGTTCCCAGTGCATGAGGGTCCCTTTCCTTTTCCTGCCTCACCCAGAGAGGCCCTGGATGCCTTTGAACTTGAGTCTCGGTAGCTTCTGCAGGATTGATTTCAGAGGTGCATACGTTGATGTCTCCCCAAAACACAGTTTGTAGCAATTGCTCTCACCAGAAGGGGGTGTGAAAGCCATCCCGCCCCACCCCCACAGGTGTTCAGTCTTTGCTGATGTGGAGAATACAGTTTAAATTTGCATTTGTTTCCTTCTGAGCCAGCTTGAGCATCATATCGTGAGCTCAGAGCCCCCGGTGGGCAATGTTTAGAGTGCAGGTTCCAGGCTTTGGGATCACAATGTCCCCTCCGTCTTTAAGGCTCTAAGATCACACCAGGTTCCAGGCTGGGGGACCAGGGGAGATATGCAGAAAGAGCGTAGTCCCTTTTCGCACACAGTGACTGGCTCCAAGCTACTGACTGTTTCAGGAGGCAGCTCTTGGGTGTCCCTGGGAGCCTCCCCATGGATGTTTTTATGTGCTAATCTCCTCGCTCTCCCACCAGCTTCATGTACTGGACAGACTGGGGCACCCCTGCAAAGATCAAGAAAGGGGGCCTGAACGGTGTGGATATCTACGCATTGGTGACAGAAGACATCCAGTGGCCCAATGGCATCACCCTGGGTATGATAGTGGGTCATGGCTAAGGGTTCAAAGCTGCTTCTCAGTGGAGATGGAGTGGCCAGGCAGCTCCCGGGGAGTTTTCTGTGGTGTTTATTTGTTTGCTCTTTTGTTGACATTTCCCTTAGGTAGTTTTTTTATATGTTAGTTTCTGTTAGGCGCCATCGAGTTGCTTCCAACTCATAGCGACCCCATGTACAACAAAACGAAAACGTTATGAGCATTCTAGTTGTACGTCTCCCAACACAGATTTGTTTGTTCTGGCAGTTCATGATACGTTTAATATTCTTCAGCATCATAACTTAAATGCATCAATTCTGGTATTCCTTATTCATTTTCCCACTTTCCACATGCATATGAGGTGATCTAGACACGTATTGAGAGAACGTCAAAAAGTCTGTGGAAAAATGGAATGAAAAGACAATGGAATTTTCCCATGAACTTTTTGAAGCCCCCTCATACAGTTCAGTGGCATTAATTGTGCTGATTGTGTTGTTCCCATCCTTATCTGTTTCCAGATTCCCTGTGGGGGGTTTTTTTGTGACTATTTTATTGTGATTTTGATATAAATGTACCTAACACATTAGGTTCCCATTTAACAAAAGGCGCTGTAGGATAAGCAATGGACCACAAGTTCCATTTGAATCGCAAAGTCAGCGCTTCAAACTCACCAGCTAGCTGCTCCTCGGAAACCCTCTATAGGGTTGCTACGAGTCGGAAATGGCTCCACTGCACTTAACAGCAACATATAGATATTGTTCAGTGACCTTGGTTTCAGTTTCCATTACTCTAGCTTCCCCGCCCCCAACCTTCTTGTCTGCTGTAGGTTAAATATTGACAAGTTGGTCTCTTCGTAGATGCTTTGTTTCTTTGTTTTAAAAAAGGAGCCCAGTACTCATGAGTGATGTTGTTTATTGTGAGTCAATCTGTTACTTTAGTTGAAAGGTGACAACCTCCGGCAGTGACTTCAGTTCAAAGTTTAAAAGCAAAAGCGTCCCTGAGTTTTTTTAAAACCCACAACTAAACTCTTCCCTGCTGGCTGAGGGGTGGAGACAATTGGCCCAAACAGCCATGTCCTGTGGTTCAGAGCTCACATCAGACAATGCCAATGGCACTTTTTCCTTAGACTTGTCTCCTGTGGAGGGCACCACAAGCCTTTGGGGCTTTTCTTTTTTTAAGTTTTTATTGTGAATTGAGTGAAAGTTTACAGGGCAGATCATCAGCTCTACACTCAACAACTTGTTTCGTTACAATGATTATAATCCCCTCCATGTACCATCAGTTAACAGTATTTCTCGCTATTCACTTTAGCTTTTTTTTAACACTCAGGCATATATAATAATTTAAACCACCAAAGGGCACATTCTGCAAGTCTGCCTCCTGGCTGCCAGGTCTCAGTCCCTCTCTTTCCATGAATCTAGAGTCCTCAGCTGCTCCCTCTCTCCTTGTCTCCATCTCCGCCTCCATCTCTGGTGTCGCTGCTTCTCTGGATAAGGTCTCTTGTTCCGCTTGTGCTCTTCTCCCTTGATGGTCCTAGAATCCTCTGTTTCTGGACTGTAAGATTAACTACTCCCCCATTTTTGTTACAAAACTTCTACCTTTACAATTGTGACAGTGGTAGTCATGATAACAATTACTCACTATTGAATCATAAGAATGTTATCCCCATCTCTTTTCACCAGACCCATCTAGACAAGATGAAAAGTATTCAGTGGGTACTCTATCCCCCCCCACACACACTTTTAAACTAAACTCCCTCTTGAAACCTTGTAAGCCAGCCACTTCGTGCCTTTATTGCCCTGTCATTTTAGGTAGCCAATGTCTAAGTTGCTCGTTCCTATCTACCGTGTGTATAGAGGGGATAGCATTGATCCTTCATGTCAAGACTCCTTCCCTCTCTGTTGGTATTTAGAGCTACTGCCTCCATGAGTATAGGTCAAATTCATCAAATTGTAGCAATTTACCCTTGTTTCCTTTATCAAAAATTGTTTTCTTGGTGTTTTTTTTTAAATCTTCCTTGATCAGTCGAGTTCTGATCATCAAGCCATCGAGGCTAGGTCAAATGGGTGCTATCTCCAAGTTTGGGTGTTCTTGTGGGTTTTCCCACACTTCATATCTGCTAGATACTTCACTCTCAGCTTTAACCCTCTGTGGCTGTCCTTGTCCATGGGCTCAAGTGTCCCCAGGTCCCACCATACATTGGACCACACCCAGCCCTTCCTCTTCTCTCTCTCATCTCCAGGGCATTGGGAATCTATGGAACGTGGTTGAACTCTGTTCATTTCTTCATTGCTGCCTTTCCTCCCTTTCCACTCACCAGTAGACCAACATGGGCACCAGCAAGCTTACATGCATGCTCATGTGTTCCCTTTGAGTTTCAGTCTTAGAGGGGGGTTTGTCCTGAAGGAACTTGATTGCTTGCCTTGATGGCTTACCTTTGGGGGCTTCTTGCTGGAGGGCAGCAGGATGGCCAGACCTGCAGGCCCCTCTAGCACCACGTGACCCCTCCTTGTCCATTTGTGTGTTCTAGATCTGTCCAGTGACCGTCTCTACTGGGTTGACTCCAAACTTCACTCCATCTCCAGCATTGATGTTAATGGGGGGAATCGGAAGACTGTTTTAGAGGACGAGAAAAGGCTGGCCCACCCATTTTCCCTGGCGGTCTTTGAGGTGAGGGTGGGGAGCTAGCACCCCTTCTTCTGGGTAGACAGCTGCTATTTCCTGAGTGCTGCTCATGTATGGGGCTGGCAGGCTGTGAAGACTGCCTGGGAAAGCTCCCATGACTGGGAAAAAGTCTCAGACCTGGTGCTATTCCTGCTTTCTCCACCAAAAGACAGTAAAAAGCTTAAACATAGCTGTTTCTCAACCTGTGCCAAGCTTGCTGCCCCCTCCCAAGGAAGCATTTGACAATTTCTGGAGACTTCTTGGTTGTTACAGTGAGGAAGAGAGGGACATTTCTGAACACCTCCTGATGGTCTGAGAGGCCCCCCCAGCAAAGGACTCTGAAGCAGATCCACAGAATGCTGTGGTGGGCATCACCGCCACTGAGACCCCCAGAGGCTGGGGACGGTGAGCTTTGTTCTTCCCGTTGGCCAATGGGATTTGTTTTGATGCCCATGTAGGATAAAGTGTTTTGGACGGATATCATCAATGAAGCTATTTTCAGTGCCAACCGCCTCACAGGCTCAGACATCAATTTGGTGGCTGGGAATCTGCTGTCCCCAGAGGACATAGTCCTGTTCCACAACCTCACCCAGCCAAAAGGTAGGTATAGCCACAGGTGACTGCCCCCTGCTTCCCACTACTGCTCTTGACTCCCCTTGGCCCTTCTGACAAAAGTCTCTTGTTCTCTCCCGTCTCCCACCTGTCCTGCCTCAGGAGTAAACTGGTGTGAGAAGACCGCCCTTCCCAACGGTGGCTGCCAGTACCTGTGTCTCCCAGCCCCACAGATCAACTCCCACTCACCCAAGTTTACCTGTGTCTGCCCCGACAGCATGGTGCTGGCCAAAGACATGAGGAGCTGCCTCACAGGTGAGGGCTGGCCAGCTGGACATGTTCCCCTGCCAAGTGTAAGCGCTCAGGAGTTGGGTAGCTCTCGAGAATGTCTTAGTTCTCTAGTCCTGCTCCAGCAGAAACACCCCAAGTGTGTGGCTTTAGTGAGCAGAGATTTCTTGTCTCCCAGCAAAGGGTGCTAGGAGTCTGAATTCAGGTGTCCGCTGTAGTGAGAAGGGCTTTCTCTCTGTCAGCTCTTAGTCACTTTTTAGCTCCTAAATCTCAGTTCCTCAGTGACCTTCACATGGTCCGGCTTCTGTCTTCCTTCATCTCAGCTTGCTGGTTTCATCTGCTTTTATAGCTCAGAAAAAGAGACTGATTTACTACACCCACTACATTAATCCTGGCTCATTCATATAACAGACAAGCATTCCCAGGTTGGATTATAACCACAGGTGAGGGCCACGGGCTCCAGATACAGGGCGGACGCACACACAGATGTACGTGTCACTGCTACACTGCTGTTAGGGACAGTCACAGGTGTTACAATTGTTGCTGTAAAGTGCCAATGAGATGGTTCCGAGGCCGTCAAGCTGACTGACCCTATCTAAAGAGAGTTTCTGAGATTTTACATCTGTAGGAGCAGACAGCCTCATCTCTCTCAGAGTGACTGGTGGATTTGAACCTCTAACCTTGTCCTTAGCAGTCCAATGCCTAACCCACAATGCTACAAGAGCTTTTAGCCACAGCTGTAGGGCTTGGGATTTGTGACACTTTTGGGAGGACACAATTTGATCTGTAGCAATTCGTGATCCCCAGCACTGTGCCGTCTGGACGCGCACTGCCCCATTTCTGGTGCCTTAAGAGCAGATTTTGAGACCCTTGTATCAAATGAGTGGCTCCCTTCTCGATTCTTCTTTTCCTCAGTGAAAGTCGCCATTTGGGACCAGCGTGTCGGTCACAAGTTCTAGTGACACACTGGTTAAAGTGCTAGGCAGTTGTTAAGCCCCATCAGCCACTCTGCGGAAAACAGATGAAGCTGTCTGCTTCTGTGGAAACTGACACCCTCGGAAAGTCTTGAGGCATTCTACCCTGTGAAAGTCTTGAGGCATTTCTACCCTGTGAAAGTCTTGAGGCATTTCTACCCTGTGAAAGTCTTGAGGCATTTCTACCCTGTGAA